AAATTCTTCATTTGTTTATAATAGTCTTTATGAATGTTTTTCCCAGTGCGCCGCGCTCTAAACAGAGCAGTGTCTCTTAAAGACATCATTAGTTTAATATAGTCTGTGATCCAGGGGTGTGGTTTGGAAGCTAATTTGGTCCGATATAGTGGCGCGTACTCATCAAACAACGCTAATAAAAGGTAATTGAAATATTCAACCTTCAGATCTATGTTTGGTTCACTGAGCACGTTCTTCCATGGGAGTATATGAAGCTCTGTGTGGAATGCTTGTTCATCTATCGTGAGCAAGTTTCTTTTGTATATATATTTAGGCTTTTCCTTAGTTCTCTTTATACATAGCTCGGCGACAACCATGCAATGATCGCTGAGCACTGGAATATCGTGTACATTCACAATTTTACATAAATCGGGAGAGTCAGTCACTATTATATCTAATAGAGAAGCCATTCTATCTGTAATACGAGTAGCTTTCTGGTTTAGCAGCTCCAATCCTCGTTGTGACAGAAAAGTTATAAGATCACCAGTCCTTTGATTCCGTTGTTGCAAAACATCAACATTAAAACCCATCAGTAAAACATATGATTACAGTATCTAAATTCATTTATAGATTCATCCAGAGAATCAATAGCCGAGGCAACCGACACAGATTCGGGTCTGTATGCTGTTTCTATAGCGAAACGCCCGTGGCCGGGAATGGTGAGCTCCAGCCAAATCTGCTCTAAAGTAGAGCCTGGGCAGGGTTTAACGCGAACTTGCAAACCCTTACGCACATAGAAACCCACTCCCCCGCCTCTAGCGTCACCGGGTCTAGGTTTATGTTTAAATTGATACCCCAATTATTTAATATAATAATTTAAAATTATACCCCGGGATCTTGGGTGCATATTTCTCTTCTCCTTGTTTTAACCATGTTTCATTTCACGCCAGTATGTCTATTTGGTATCTATCCACTGCAGCCACGAGCTCGTCACGCCCAGTATTTAAAGACCTCACGTTCAGCAGTCCCAATATCAAATTATTTTTCTTTGTTCTAGTCATTTATGTATAATTAGATAATTAATTGATACCTCAATAGATGCTGCCAATGATACCGACTCAGGGCTTGCGCGATGTCCATAACTTAAAATATCTTGAAACATAGCTATTACTGTAACATTGTGAGCCAATAAATATATTAATAAATGTATAAACACTCTAAGTTGCCAAACGAACATTGTAATCACCAAAAACCTTACTGAGGTCAGCTTCAGTGCGGATGCGGTGGCGTGTCTTACCGTGTTCTTCGCGTACATATATTTTTCCATCTCTTGTTCATACGTATTTCCATTTCTTGCTGTTGGCAATCTCCTTTGCTTTGCGGAACAGTTGTCTATTGTGTTTTGTAAGCCGCTTGTTAACATAGAAAACGCGAGCGGGTCCGGGTAGAGTCATGCCTTCGGTGGTTATGCGGCGTCGGACACGCGCAGCCTGAAGAATAGAATCTTTCAGGGCACGGCGCGTCACTCTTATCACTAGATGCCGAGGACGTGGCGGTAAACCACCCTCTGTGATGGCCGAAACCGGGCCCACACGTTCGGCGGTCACAATGTCCCGTTCGTCAAGGCTCACGGCTAGTTTTTGAGCAACCGTAACGAAAACACTCGTTTCATTTTCTTTTCTCACTTCTGGTAGACCTGCAGTTTCTATGTCATTACTAAGCGAATCCTGGTCTCGGCTCAATAACTCTTGTTTCATTTCCATAATTGTGTCTTCCAACGATTTAACATGGCCTGTACAGATTTTAACGGTTTTCTTTTCTAGATCGTCCATTCTTGCTTCTATTTTTTCAATTCGGTTACTCTGTTCTCTTACGCATCATGTAATTCTTGCATAGTCATCCTAAAACAGTTCATTTCTGTACGAAAAGCCCTGATTTCGGTACATAATTGTCGTATTTCTGTTATATCTTGTTTTTCCATTTTTTCCTCTGTTTCTTTATCTCCTTCGCCTGAGAAGTTCTGTGTTATGTCTAAATCAACAACTGATGTTCCTTTTCTTCTCAGTGTTACGTTTGCAGAGTCATTGTATCCATTGCCATGGTCCGGCGTAGTGATGGAAGGACGGATTGGAGTGTTTCCACTTTTTGGTTGCATGCATTTACATTTAAGGCATTTCCAGTCATCTTTTTTCTTCATGAGCTGGAACATTTTGAATTCTACATTTCCGCAAGCCAGATCGTACGTGCAGTTAGTTACAGAGAGCACATTGAAGGTGTTCCCGTTTAGGTACAGGATTGCGGCAACCTTCACATTTCTGTGTTTCGAATGATGACATTTTTATGATAATGCCCTCCGCTGGTGAGTAGCCGATTAATTCGAGTCAAGTTGAGGTTGACCAGTGTTTCATGCGGCGTTAATTGCTACTAAAAATACTCAAGGCTCCCTCTATCGGTGGGTAGCGGTACTTTCATTGATCTTTTTATTTTCACCGTGTTAAAATAGATGGCGTTCTGTGTATCTATTTTAACATCTATATGTAATTTAAAGTGTTAACGGTTCTTTAAGGTTATATTTTTAATTAAATACAAGTATCTATTATCTTTTTTCCGGTTTGTGGGGACAAGGCTCTTCCTCTCGAGGTGTACGTCTTTTAATTCTGTTTACGAGTTTCAAAAAAACTTTATCTATGTAAGATCCAGTGAAAAATACGCTTCTCCACACAGTTGTTTATATCGTCCGATTTGCCGTATGATCTTGGCCACATTCACTTGCACAGCACCCTTGGTAGATAAGTAATGTTTGTAATCACAAATATGACGAATCCACTGAGACTAAGTATTTAAAAATATATATACGTAAGTTGATGTTTGTTTGCGCACTGCAGCGCCCTCTCATGTCATCAATTGTTAGCCGTACAAGAAATAAAAATAACTTAGAGAAGTAAGTATAAGCGCTATTTCGTTTTGTTAATGTGAATGTACTTATTTGAAACATTATCAAGACGGAACCAGTGCGCCACTGGACCAATAAAGGCAGAGCGGGTTACACAGATTGGCAATGAGGGCGCGTTACCGTAATGTCGTAGCGTTTTATTTATCTTTGGACGACTGTCACGTTTAGCCTATTCCCATGTCACGACTATCTGTCGTGGACGATTACTTTATCGTTGAACGACTGTCGTGTCTAACTGTTCCCACTAGAGCGTGACGACAATTTATATTTCACGACTGTTTAATGCACTGAAGTCGCTTCTACGAGTATGTTCTTTTAGAAGCCAATAGTGTGTGTTCGCTTCCGCGTGAAATGGATGAAATTTTAATAATGTATTACTTTTTAAAAAGGCGGAATAGGAAGCAAACGAAGAAAAGAAAGTTTTGGGTACATCCAATGTTATTAAAAAGCATTACATTAGGATTATGTCAAACGTTTATAGATGGACTAAAAAGTGATGAGAGCAAATTTTGGGTCTATTTAAGAATGCAATATTTTGTAATAAGTAATATGTATAATTAAATTTAAACAAAACTCAATTCTCAACAATTATTTAGTTGTAATTAGTTTTTGCCCTCGATCTCGGCCATTAATGGATTTCAATCCGATTTAAAACCGGCGTTAACTAAGCGCCGGGTTGAAACCCCAACGATATAAAAGTCGTGAACGACAGGTAATCGTGTCGTACTATATGAGAACAACTTCATTCAAATATACAACACACTATACTTTAAACTGCACGACTATTTGTCGTCACGACATAATGGGAACGTGCTCTAACTAGATGTGGCAAACGTTTCGAGTATAGATTTATACTTAATATTTTGTTACTGATTTCTGTTGTTTTAGTATTTTCGTATGTATTATTCATAAATTGTTTCTTTAAATAATTTTATACTAAGGGTTCGATAGTCTAAATTTATTAATCTTATAATAGTTTGATTGGTTTTAATTTAACCTTTAGATTTCATCAAGGAAGAATATGTGGTCTGTGGAGTTCATACTCTATACTCTATGTGTAGTTTCGCTAAGGAGTTGTATGTCGCGAAATGTACGTGTTACGGTAAGTAACGAACTACGCCGCGGATAATTTGCCGTTTTAGGTTTAACCTTCATGATTTGGGGCTTCCAGGTTAAGGTTACGCTACCAATCACGAGATCTAAGTATTTTTCATTATGGTTTGTATGTGCTTTCTTGTTCATTCTAAGTTGTTCAAAATCTGATAATGTTTTGACAACGTAAAGTTAATAGATGGGCCTGAAACAACACGTTGAGAAGGTCTGTATTATTTTGGGTACTTTACGCGATCGAAACATGCCGTGATCGAAGCAAAACAGACTCGTACCGTCGACATATTACGACGGCTGCCCTTTGGATTGAGAATGCTTATATTATTAACGTAAACTAAAAACAACAGGGGTCCTAAAATCGACACTTGAGTGGACGGCACGAATATTTGTCTTTATTAAGGTGACACACACGTAAATGACCTGAATTACATTCTCGCCGCGGAAATCAGTGCTTGTCAACTTGACTAGTCTTGCCGTGATTTGTTCAATCCAGTCTATTTTAAGGCATACTTCGTGTTACCATATAGTGCCGTACCGCACCGCACCGCACCGCACCGCACCGCACCGCACCGCACCGCACCGCACCGCACCGCACCGCACCGCACCGCACAGCACCGCCTGCGACTAGTGCACGCTCGTCTGCGACTCGCAATTCAATTAGCTCTCACCTCGACACCGCGTTCACAATTACACAGTTCACTCCTTAAACGGTTGAATTTATACTTTTTGAGTATTATTAATTATTCATCATATACAGAGTACGTACAATTCCTTCGATATAAATGTCATTAAAGGGAACTATCCAAGTGTAACATAATTTAATGAAACTTAACTCAAATTAACAAAAACCCTGATAAAAACAGGGTACCCCAAACAGTTAATAGTGTCTCCACCAGTAAGCTGACAACTCGTCGAGACTGTTGTTGTGCTGTTCATGACAGTGTGTCTGTTGTTGCAGAGTGGTGCGCGCGCGGCAGCGGGCGGCGGCGCGGCGCGCACCAGTCGCCAGCGCCGGCGCCGGCTGCGCTGCTGGCCACCGTCTTGCAGGTCAGTCAGTCTCGACTTTTTTCAAAATGATCAACGATTCGATTCTCGTCAGGTGGTGGCCACAGGCTTTTCCTTAATATGTCTTAAAAGTGCTTGCGGAGGATACCAGACCAATCATATTTTAATTCATCTCAGTTTTGAATTCGTAAAGAACCGTGTAGGGCAGTTAGTTCCATATCGTGTAGCTGCAAAGCAACATTGAAATATTCTTCTCTGAATTTATTGTTGATTTAAGCAGTAATCTTTACACAATGAATGAATGTGTTCGTGTGCACAGATCCGCGACTGGGTGTCTGCAGAGGTGGAGATGCTGCGCGCGCAGGCGGCGGTGGTGGGCGACGTCGACGACGTGCTTCACCAGCTCGACAAGCAGAAGGTATTATTTAGAGTTATTTAATAGCTACACTTTTTTTTAAATATTATACAACGTCACACTCGCTGCTCGGATCCCAAAGTAAGTAACTAACTAACGACGGAACTAGAAACACCCAGACACAAGACAATACAGTAAAGTTAGTTTTTCTACATTGACCCGGCCGGAGATCGAAACCGGGACATTAGAGATGGCGTCATCATGGAAACCGAGGTCGTCAATTTGTGATAATAGTATTTTTATAGAAACAGTAAACATACGTACATACTTTCAACGACTGTTTCCTGTTAGATCGCAAATAACTGATGTAGACATAAAAGAAAAATTAAAGTAGAATTGGAGGAATAGTTCCGCTAGTAATAGCATGTGATGTAATAGAGCGTTGTACGAGGGCTGTTCCGAAAATAGTTCAGAGTAAACATAATGTCTTTTATTGCCACTATTTTGAATTGACGGCTAATTTCAATACAAATCTTCGTGATGAAAATCATTGAACACCTGTGTGTAGCTCTTTTGTTTAAAATTTTATTTATAAATTATCTGTCGCTCGGGTTTTTTTTGCAACAATGGACGACACACGGGAAGCTTTTCATGCTGTTATTTTCTATGATTTACAAGCTACTTTTGGGCAGTCTGCTCCTGCATTAGCAGCAATTATTTATTGGTTTCGAGAATTTAAACGTGGTCGGTGTGACCTCCATACATCGTCATCCCACCTTTTATCGACTTTCTTCGGTTCCTGGTCACTCGTACTTAAATTTAAATTTTGAATTGTTCCATAATTCTTCTGCTCACATTCTGATTTTGTTTCGTTCCACCGCGAACACGTCTTCTCTTTATTTTTTTGAACCGTTTACCGGTTACCAAAAATCTCTTGTTCGATAAACATTTTAAAGATCACAAATATTAATAAAACGGAATATAATATTTATATCTTTACCCTTTTGAACTTGGAACTAAACTCGCTAGGCAAGATGTATGGAGGATGCGGAGGCTACCACTGCGCCAGGCAGGCCACGTTACAACCTCCAGAACATTCCAAGCGGCACCACCAGCAGTGCGCGTTTCGAACGTGGACGAGTGAACCTAAACGGTGACCGCAGTCCCGGCCCACAGTAACTCATAAAAACGTCATCAGGTTAATGTGGCTGTAGCGGGAGAATAGACCTTAAATTTATTCTCTCATCGAAATACCGTCTTGTTGATTGGTGCAACTTTCGAAAATATTTGAAAAGTTCGAAGGAGGAACTTCGCAAAATAATAATAAACATCCTACCATCCTTACAAGTGACGAATCTTTGGAGCTACGGTCCTCTAACGCAGCAGCAATCCGCATAATGGGTGTTTCAAGAGTTGCCCACTAAAGTCGTTCGCGGTCGGCGCGTTAAAAAAAATATAGGGGTTTTATTCGACGCAGTGGACCAGTAGCAGTAATTCCGCTAGAACACCTTTATTCATGAATGGTATTGCATAGTTTATCTGCATCAAGCTTTCAGGGAATTGAATAGTGAGCGCCTAAGGGCTCCTGAAGTTCTTGCTGCTAGAACCATCGACTATTCGACAACTTCGGGAGTACAAATGTTACCCTATCCTGCGTACAGCCCAGATTTAGCTCTATGCGATTTCTTTTTATTATCCACAGTAAAAAAAACGCTTCGTGGGCGAAAATTTTGCACTGCAAACGTGGCCGTCGAAATAATTTGACGATTATTTTTCGGCCGTGCAATATACGTTTTTTAAATGTTTTGAAAGCTAATTCAGTCGAATATATAAGTGCATAGGGGTTGGAAGGGGATATTTTATTTTTCGTATTGTAACTACTTAAATGTTATCTATCTTATTATTTATCGTGTAGCCTGTTACTTTAGTAAAAGGCGTAAAATAAGATCTAGCAAACAAGTTGACAATAAGCCAGAGCCGTAGGGAATAACTTTGACGGTCAAATGACACACGGCGCTTATTAAAATGCTTGCGAGGAAACAGTGTATTTTGTGTGTTTACCGTAATATGAATTGTTGTAAGCTCTACAATTGCCTTTCGGTTTCGGCGATGAAAGTCTGTCTTTTGCAAATTGCACTTCACTTAAAACTGGGTCGCAGTTTATTGTATAAAATTCCAGTTCGTCTGTCATTTATTTTGTATACATATTTATGTGTATTGAGTAAATACTGGGTAATTTGTTATAATTTTAGAAAAATCCTGGTTTTAGTAGTCACGGACGTGTTTCATAAATCTATGTACATATTTTTAAATTTGACATATAATTTATAGATTTATCAAACATATTGTGTGTTGAAACATAACTGCCTCAGTGGCCGAACGGTTACCATGCAGGACTTCCACGTAGCGGTCCCGAGTTCTTCCCGGGCCGGCAGAAATATTAGTATGGCCTACATTTATTTCTCTCGTGAGTTGAGAGGGTGTAATTTGTGGTTGTCCATGGCACCCGCGATACAGGGTTTCCCTAGTGCTGGCTATGAGTGTGTGTGTTACAAAAATATAAGAGGTATTTAGCCGCTTTGGTGTATTATATTATGAATAGAATTAAAATGCACAGGCTACATTTTTAAATGTTAATAATAATAAATGGGTCAATAGAGGCACTGTATACAGTTAATAGCACATAATCACATTGTCATGATGAAAGTTTTACTTTTAAAGGTGGCAATAAGAAGATAATGAGCTTGGTGATAGCTAGGTGCAGGTACGATACAGAACGCACCATAATATGAAAACATTCCAAGTGTATCGTAAATAAATACAATTTGAAATACTTTGTATAAGTGTACAAATGGTTTAGTTTTTTCAAAATAAAGGTACTCCTCGCTACTAAAATTTGAAATTGGGCTGTAAAAACTAAAAAAAAAGAAAATGTTTGTTCACACTGCAGCAAAATGTACCACTTTTCGTACGATCAGCCGCTCGAGAGAATAAACTTTTCTAGCAACCGTGTTCCAGTACAAGGGTATTTGTTGCGTCTAATTCAGTGAGCACGAGGCTGGGCGGGGCGAAGTGGGGCGGCAAAATCACTCCTTTGGGTATCTAAGTCAACCCTCGTACGAAGGATTAAAACTGGTTTGTACAACGTGAGAGGGAAAATAGACCTTGCTTGTAGTACCGAGAGAAGAAATATGCGCGCGACTCGCGCCGGGCAAGCACCTTACCGGATCCCTTAACGAAGATATTGAATTAAGGGACGAAAAACTAAATACATAAGACGTTCTCTCGTTACATAAAACAATACAGTATTATGCTACGATTTTGTAATACTTCATTTATTTGATAAACAAAGATTATTATAATATTCGGAAACAACATCCTAATACTTGTTAATGTCGATGCAGCCGTCGAAGCATACACATTTTATATCGGCTAGACGAGGTCGAATGAAAGAATGTCGGTCGAAAAGTCTACAGAAAGGCAGGAGCAGTTTTGCATGATGTAATGCTATTAATGTGTTGGCAATTCGGCTGTGTATATTAAGTCATTGCAACAAAATGTAGCCGCGTGCTCAGAGCCGCGGCGCGGAGTCCCAGTCGCCTCCGGCGGCCGCCCGCCGACTGGGGGTCGTGCCCACGTCGCGCTGGCCCTAGTGATGTACGGTTTACCAATATTCCACTCGCTGGTTGTAGGCGCTGTCGTGTCGGCTACTCTTTCTCTTACCAATCCATTTCTTTAGACTGCTTCGTTGTTTATTGGTCCTCGTTTCCGATCTTGCCACACAAAGAACCTCTGAGCAAACTTTTCTCTATGTACTTACAGCTATTTTTCGAACTGAGGGCCGATTCTGCCTCGGGAAGTCCTGCAGGCTCGTTCCACAACCTTGTTGAAGAACTACAGTTTTGCCACGAGTAACGCAGCTCGGCCCTACAGCCGCGGCGCGCATGCGCGGCGAGCATTCGACCGACAGGCACTCGCCTCACCGCTCCCCTCCGATTCACAGCGACCGAGATTTTTACTTTACAAATTTTAACGCACTACACATACGCGGAAAACGATGATTTACTGGGTCACAGCATCTTAAGAATTGTGGTACCCATCACAACAGCTGTTGAAATACTGGGTAATTCACACAAGAACTTACCAAATTGCATATTACCCGTTTAAATTTACCTACTGCTTGGAAAACTGTATTTAAAATGTTATTTAATTGCCTACCATTTATGGATCGTTGTAACGATGACGTCAAAAATGAGAATGAAAAAATGAGATTTTATTTTTGTGTTGATCATTTGTCAATAACTTCTCACACTGATTCTGAACTCATACAAAAACGAGTGCCATTTAAACAGAGAAGAGAGTTTTTTTTTATAATATCAAGTGACGGCACGAACAAGTCGTGCGCTTGATGGTAAGCTACACGCCTGTCCATAACAGTTGCAGTGCCACTCAGAGCTTGAAATCGCAAACATCTGAGGGGCACTGCCACTGCGCCCGTTACCCTGAGTCATTTGACAAGTCCCATGTGCCTGTAATTTCACCAGCACCCTTACCTTTCAAAACCGGAACACAGTAATGGTAACATTACTGCTTGGCGGCAGAAATAGGTAAAGTGACAGTACTTCCCTGGACGAACCCTTTCACAAGGAGCCGTACTGCTTACGTATTTATTTATTTACTTTTAGGAAGATTTACAGCGAATTTTTAACAATAAATAAATGTTGAGTAACAGGTGAAAGTGCTAATTACAAATCTCCACAAGTAGCACAAAAAATAACTTATTAAGTTTTTAGTCAGCAGAAACTAAAACATTATTATTAAAAATGTAAACTACATAATATTATTTTACATTCTGAAAACAGGTACAATTGCCAATGCAGGGGAAAAAAGAAAAGAAAAAAAAAGGAAAAATATTTAACCCTATATAGCCCAACCAACAACACGCACATCTTAAAGACAGGAAACAAAATAAGGAGAGATAAATAATTACGTAAAATTTTGCTTAGTAAACGTTCGTCGAATCAAGCCTACACTAGTACTGAACAGATCGATGTCAATAGACGATTGATTGTATGTACTTTTTAATTGCTCGGATAAACAATGAATTTTGCCTATAATTAGTCCTCGCCCCGGGCACACACAGCACCGTTTGACGCATGAGACTCAGCGCGTTAGTCCTAAAGGATAATTTAGACAGTAGTTCCGATGCTTCCGACGAGTCAATTTTACTGTTTATTATGTTATACAGGAAGCAAATGTCATTAACTTTTCGCCTATTATCGAGAGTTACAAAATGATAACGCTTACAACGCTCCACATAGCCTGTCGTTCGCTGTTTTGTCTTATAATTTAAATACCTCAAAAACGTTTTTTTGTATGGCTTCAATACGTGATTTGTAAACTTATCTAGGGTTCCACACCTGAGAAGCATAATCGAGAACACTGCTTACAAGAGCACAGTACAATATTTTAATAGGCTTTATGTCGGTAAAATCATTACACGTCCGCATCAAGAACCCCATGGCTCTATATGCTTTTGCAACTATTCCCTCATTATGTTTATAGGTTATAGATATAAGAGCAAGTGGGAATCAAAATACACGCCTAGATCCCTAACACTATCCACTCTATTCATACAACTGCCTAGAAGACTATAACCTCCACCGATAATGGTTTTTTTACGCGAGTAATATATGACGAAACACTTCGTTACATTTAAGTCTAGTTTATGAATTCGACAATAAGCTACGAACTGATCAAGATCATCCTGTAGAGTCTGAACGTCTTGATTTGACACAATTTTTTTGAGCATTTTCATATCATCAGCATAAAGTAATACTTCAGAGTTATGAAAACAAAGTTAGATATCATTAATAAATATGATGAACAATAATGGGCTCAACAGAGACCTTTGTGGCAAAACCCGGGGGAACAAAATTCCAAGTGGATTTATAACCGGCAAGAACCACTGCTTGACTGAGCCTATCAATATAGGACGACAATATAGGACGACTATATAGATCACCGTGGACACCAGCCCTCGATAACTTATCAAGTATGATTCCGTGGTCAATGCATTCAAAATATTTACTGTAATCGGTATATAGAACGCCCTTCTGAGCTCCGTCCTCCATACCAGTCGAAATACCAGGTCTCAGTCAACGGGATAATGTCATATGAACTTAAATAAACTTTTCTTAAAAACGTACTAGTTTCAGTACGTAGGCCCCTGGTATTTTGGTAATATAAATTAAGTCCAGCCATTTTTAAAGGTAATAAAAAATATCAATATATTTATAATTAATACAGCAACCTATAAAAAATAAGATACAACAAAGACACGGTTATAATACCACCGTAAATTTACAAAAAACGTAATTGTGTATAATATAATTAATATCTATGTTATTTTTAAGTTTCTCGCTTCTCTTGTACAAAATTATATTATTATTATTAGGGCCATATACGCAAAATACACCAAATATAAAACGTTTATATTTATATAAAATCTTAGCAATGGGCAGCAAATACATAACATAATAAAGAAAAAAGCCAATGGGCAGTAGCGTACAGCAAATATTACTTGTGATGACGGCGAAAAGTGAATACAATAGAACACTGTCGATACAGATGAGAGCCCGGCAAGCGATTCGAAACAATGCAAAATATTAATGTGTGCGTGAGCTGGTTTGTAGCAATAGGTGAATAGGACTTTTTTACCTGCATTCCTTCGATTAACTAATGGCATTCCTGCAGTTCGCAAACTTTTAGACGTGTAACTTTAAAATTGATATCCAAAGAGCACTTGATACGTTAGTTGATTCAAAATAACACACGGAACACAAATGCACAGATTGAATATAAGAATGATGTCTATTATTTCGGTGAGATTTTTAATAGATCCTTTGGGGACCTTATGGATATAATAGGAGAAGAGTCGTCTCTTCGTAGAAAAATTTTTGCATTCTTACCCATGTATACTGAAACCCCTGTTCTTTGCCCATCTTCTTGGTTTCTGTTAGAAGTGTTTTATTATGTACGGTAAGATGATCATTCACAAATACTTTAGATCTCCCTTGCAGACCCAAATCAGATGGCATAATTGGTGACGTTTTGATTGCTACTCTAGCCGCAGCTATAAAATCTTCTTTAATATACCTATTATTAAAGCATACAATAATTGGCTTAATATGATCCGGGTCACGGGTTCGGACACGCGTTGCAAAGTTGTGTCTTAGATACTGGGTATTGGATTTTTTTCCGAGCGGAGTAAGTTTTCATTTTGAGGAATGCCCTGCAGCTCGATATTATTCATATGATCCCATTGCTCTTTGTCATTGATGTCATTAACAATTTTCTCAATTTGGGATTGAATGGAGGCTTGTACAATCTTTGCGTCCTCAAGAAGTGTTAAATGGCTTTCAATCTTCGTGAACCTAGATGAAAATTCCCTAAATGTGTTTTCAGTAGCTTTTGCTGTATCCTTTAATTCTGAGAGATCTGCTATAAGATTTTGTACCTCCTGGACCAAAGAATCAAGCGGCATCAACCTTACGCCGAGAGGTTTAATTTCCTTCATGAGCAACTCGTAGTTTCCATCAGATACTGGTGACACACGTGGTACTTGAGAATGTTTACATTTTGAACAACGCCACACACTTTTCGGTGATCCCAGCGCAATGACAGTGCTAGTATTTGTTGCACGCGCTAAAGTGCACTCCATCAATGAATTGATCGTCACACTTCGAACACTTCAAAGAAGTATGTTCAGACTTCGATGCGAACATTTTAAAGTTTGAGAACCACTAGCAAAGTTAGCACTGCCGAACGAGAGGGGCACGCCTATACGCCACTGAATCAATGACGAGACTGACTTATTGTAATAAAAAGGTGTAATAATTAAAATATGTTACGGAATCACTTCAATGAACGTTAATGTAAATACACTATAGAGCACATGGAATAATGCAATTTGACAAATGTGCGAATGTAATGCAGATGTAAAATAGTGTGGAATAGCGAATACGTTTTATTCAGCTACTTTGGGAGTTAACTATGTGCTTGTGTCACAGGGAGTGCTGCGCGAGCTGGAGCAGAAGAAGCCACAGCTGGAGGAGCTAGTGTTAACAGCGGAAAGCCTACGAGGCTCCGAGAACAGGCAGCATCTGCACGGGAAAGGTACGTGTCTTAACTGTTCATTGCTTGGCCTTGCTGAATTCGGGAAGCGAAGCTATTTGCGAAAGCCAGTGACAACAGAACTAACTTAAAAGCTTATAATAGAGCACGCAACGCGCCCATGCCACGCCGCATCAATGCGCACTGGCATTCTTGCGTAGCCTACGGGACGTACGACATTAGCGAAACCTCTGTCGAATCGAGTCGCGATCCCGCTAAAGTATAATAGGTCAAAATTCAAAATTCAAAATAATCTTTATTTCATAGGTAAGCATTATTACACTTGAAATCGTCACAATGGTTAAACTCTACCGCTCATTCGTAAGGCAGATTCCCCTGAGAAGAATGAGCAAGAAACTCTAGGGGTTGCTCTTTGTAAATAACATTTACAATATTTTTTTATTTGAAACATCAGATTGAGACTACCTCCATGAGCTAAACGGGTTACTACCACGGATTTTTGTCATCCAAGTACGCAGAAGTTGTATAATAACCTTTAGTATAAAGTTTTTGTTTCACTATAGTTTTAAACCTCGTGAAAGGCAAATTTTGTATATCAACCGGAATCTTGTTATAGAAGCGTATACATTGCCCCTTAAATGATTGTTTGACTTTGTGAAGACGACTATCAAGAAAAGCTAGTTTATTTTTATTCCTCGTATTAATGTTATGTCTGTCACTATTTTTCATAAAGAAATTACTATTCCTTTTAACATAAATTATATTTTCATAAATGTATTGTCAGGCTAGTGTAAGAATGTTAATTTCCTTAAACTTATCTCTCAAAGATACTTTGGGGCCCAGATTGTAAATTGCCCTAACTGCACGTTTCTGCAGGACAAAGATTCTATTGATATCGGCGGCATTACCCCAAAGCAAAATGCCGTATGTCATTAGACTGTGAAAGTAGCTGAAGTAAACCAATCTAGCGGTTTCGACGTCTGAAAGTTTCCTTATTTTTTTAATCGCGTACACTGCAGAGCTGAGCCGTTTTGACAACTTACTTATATGGGGACCCCATTGCAATTTAGCATCTAACGGTATACCTAGAAATACAACTGTATCCACAAGATTCAATTTCGTTTCTAACTACAATGTTTGTAACCGTCTCTCTAACATTGGGTAATGTAAATTTCACACAATTTGTTTTTTTCTCATTAAGAAGTAGGTTATTAACAGCAAACCAATCAACTACTTTAGATATAGCATTGTTCACATCGTCATAGGAACATTGGTGCCTTTTAACTTTAAATAATAAGGAAGTATCATCAGCAAACAATACTATCTCATGTTTTATACTCTCCATAAGGCTAGGTAAATCATTAATATAAACTAAAAACAAAAATGGGCTTAGAATTGAACCTTGAGGGACACCCATGCTAATTACAGACCCTGACGATCTCGTACCGTTAACATCGACCCTCTGTACCCTACCACGCAAATACGATTTAAGAAGGTCGAGATCACGTCCCGCCACACCATAATGGCGAAATTTCCTGACCAGTGTATCATGGTGCACACAATCAACAGCCTTGGAAAGGTCACAGAATACACCGATAGCATCATGTGAGACTTCCCATGCATCAAATATATGATTAATCAACTCTACACCAGCGTCGGTTGTAGAGCGACCCCGAGTGAAACCAAATTGTTTAGGAGACATTAAATTATTACTATAAAAATGTACACACATCTGATTTAGAATAATTTTTTCAAATATTTTACTGAGAGTTGGTAGTATTGATATAGGTCTGAAATTGGTGGGGTCAGAAATACTACCAGATTTGAAAAGTGGAATAACTTTACTTTGCTTTATGAGGTCAGGAAAGACACCATCATCAACACATTTATTAAAGACACAGGCTAAGTAAGGCGCAATACAATCAACTATAGAACTAATTACTCTGACTGAAAGACCATCAAGATCAGCAGTATTTTTTATATTTATAGACTTAAAGGTTTTAACAATATCGTTTGGAAATACATGACGGAACCTTAAATTAGTGATACTAACTGCATTATTTTCTTTTAGTAAGGATTCAGCGGCCGTGGGAGATGAATTTAACGAATTAGTAGTCAAAATTGGAACGTCGGTAAAAAAATTTTCAAATATTGTAGCAACTTCTGCGTCTGTGTTTACAATTTTGTCATTAAATCTTAGTTGAAAATCTAAGTTACGAGGTTTGACCCTTCCAGTTTCGCTATTTATAATATTCCAAGTCGTTTTTACTACATTCGCGCTGCTTTTTATTTTATTATTAATAAACATTGCTTTGGCTGCCACACAAACACGTTTAAACATTTTCGAATATTTCCTAACAAAATCATTAAAACTGTTACTAGTGTTATAAGTTCTTTCATCGTAAAGATCATATAGCCTTTGTCTACTTTTGTGAATTCCCACAGTCGCCCATTCACTAAATTTCAATGAATTATTAATAGTTATGATTTTGGACTTAAAAACATTATCACGTTCACTTTTCACTATGTTGAAAACTGAATTATACAATTTATTGGGATCGTTAACGTACGGAATGTCAGTTAGTTTAAGCATTACGTTATTTCTATAAGCTTTAAGTCGACCATTATTTATCGGAACACATGTGATATCCTTTTTCGGCATTTTGTCAACAGTTATATTAAAAGTGGCCAATTGACCGCAGTGATCTGAAGTTAATTTATTTATAATAGATTTATTACTAGGTACGGCGTTGGTATAAATGTTGTCTAAACAAGTGGCAGTAGTAGAAGTTATTCTAGTAGGCACCAAAAAAAGATTCACAAGGTTATAACATTGGAAAAATGATATGAGCCTACTGCTAGCACTGGAATCTTCTAATAAGTTAACATTGAAGTCACCACAAACAGTAATATATTTATTTATATTATTTAATTTGGCTAAAACTTCATCTAATCTTTTTTCAAATAGTTCGTAAGATGAATGAGGGGGTCTGTACACGCTTAATATAACAAGCCGTTCAAGCTCTATGCAGGATATCTCTATAGTCCGCTCAATAGATAGGCTCACAATATCTGTACGTTCTTTAAATTTTAAATTATTTTTAATAAGAATTAAAGAGCCGCCATGAATAGCTTTTTCTCTGCTGAACGAACTAGCCACCTGGTGATTGTTGAAGCTAAACATGAACTGATGTTGTGATAGAAAGTGGTGTTCAGTAATACAAAGTCATATAGCTAATAGGTCACTGAGACATATTTAATGATCACTGGAAACGTCTTGGTCAGCGTGGTTACATATGTATATAGGTATGTTGATATAATAACGAATAATTTTTGTCAGCACACTGGTTTTCAAGGTGAGGTATTATTTTCCAGGCTGGGATGGACTCGGCTAATGCGTGAAGACACTTTAGGACGTTTTCCAAAAATTTTTTCAGAACTGGATGGTGTAGACCCCAGTGACAGATTGAACTCATTGCGTTTTAATTGAAAGTGTGTATTTTCTGACCTACGTTAGGCTATATCACTACTTGCGTTACGACCCATACGCAGTGCGCTACAGTTCTGATGGCGTAGACGTGGCGCCAATTTTCTGGCTTGGCTACGCGCTACGACTTCGCTACGACCGTAGCAGTTTTGTAGGTCGTAGTAGCCGCCCTTGTTTAATTAATCTCGCTGCTACTAAATACTAAAATATGTTGAAGTGCACGTGTATGGTGAATATGTGTCACGGCTCGGTAGACGACGGGCGTCGTATCTTGCGATTCAATTTTTCACCTCCTTCGTCTCGACCTAAGTAAATACGAGCGGAAAGGTTGTTTTGGCCAAAGTAAACACCGGCTCGTGATTTCGCGTGAATTAAACCATTTAAAGAAGAGCAGGGGGCAAAAATAAAAAAGTAATCAACCTACGGCGAAACAAGTTAAAGCTATTGAAGGTATGGCCGCCGCTAGCACCCGGCGGCTGCCGACAGGCAAGACACAGAGACGGACACTGGTACATGCACTGGCACCAGCTTTCATATCCTTTACTTTTTAGTCTTGTCCGTATGGTGTAACAGAGACACAATGTTTGTGGCCATTGGTCAGGCTGTTAAGCAGACGTGGAAGCGGGCGCGGGCTTCGCGCCGCCGCTAGAAAGAAGCGTGATCGTTAACCTATTTCATTGAGCTGCGTTTGCACCGTAAGGAACGTCGCAAGGAAATCTCCAAAAACTGCTCGGCAATGTTTTTGGATAACACTGCAATTCGAGTGTGACTTATAAAAAAACATTTTGTACGTTTTTGCTTCCGTAACAGTAACAACGGTTATTAATAACTTTTAAATTGTTTCAAAGAATGAATATTATGACAACTTATTACGATGGCGGTCCCTTGAAATTCTTTAAAAACTTCGGAGCTTAGGCCAGTGTGTGCATTGCCGAGGGAATCCCTAATGAGGGGAGTAGAGCGCCGCGTGTGAACGCGCGCGGAGGGGTGCAGGGCGCGGGGAGGGCGTCGCGGCGCAGGCCAGTCGCCGCCCGCCGCCGCGCCCGCCGCACGTGTCGCGGCCCGCCGTGCCGGCACCCGCGACTGCTCCCGAGGCCTATAACCAAACATATCATTGCTCCTAAGGTGTTAAGGTTGTGCAACGGCTCCGCCGTCTTACTTCGGAGACTCGACCTGTGGCTTCCTCACAGGCAAACTCGGGCCTGTTGCCTCACGCCCGCCCGGCTAACTCGACTTTCGCCCTTTTTTGATATTTTGTTTACCGCCAAAAGGTGTTCTACTATGTAAACATGTGACAAGTACCACTACTATTAGTGGTCCAATCCAATAGTGGTTGCTTCAAGTTCGCTTCGCTTTCCTCCCTGTACCGCGAACAGCAGTCACAGTGCTTTAGGATTGTACAATTAAATACAGTGTCGTACCCTGTAGTGTGTTATTACACGAGGGCTACCAATCTTATTATTTTCCTGCAAAGTGAGTTGTCCTTTTCGTGTTACTAGCTAATATAATAGTCGTCAACAACATAATCGTAATCGAAACATATTCCTAAGTAGGCTGTGTTGTCGTTGTCATCCAGAACGTTAGAAAACTTCGCGTCAAGCCCGTGTGGAGCCGCTTCCCCTTTCTGTCTCAAAACACGTGCATTTTCGGAATCTTATCCATCGACTTTGTTTGAGCCCAACATTGGGCCTCCGATCTCAACTACACAAATGCATCACTACGCCGCCACTGTATTCGTACATTTCAGTGTTGGTTAGAGAACAGAAAACTTACATTTGGTTTTTAAATGCACCAAAAATTATTATTCCACACTTAGTATCGCAATTGGTAATAAACTAGACCTGTCGTAATACCGTCATGGTGGCGATAACTGCCATCGGCAACTACGGCGCTAGCTGCTAACGTTCACGCATTCTGATCACGAGTGCACTCGATTCTTAGATCTCGAGTTACACTCATTACGTACCTCGGGACTTATCTCGTTTTTTTTGCCACGTGGACAGGAGAAGGGCGAAAACCTCTTGGGTTTTTTATTTGATTCGTCAGTTTCACCCTGAGCACTGAGTATCGCGAACGGACTTTTCAACACGTAGTAATAAGTAGTTTCTCGTCCGCATGAAAACTACGTGTTTTATTTCTCCTCAGACGTTTTTTTGCTGCTTATCACTCAATTGATTTAAGAGGCGCTCCCACCACCGTTGCAGTACCTAAGCCTGCACATAGAAAAGGCCGTCTTTATTGGGCCTGTCATTATTATTGCACATCCGTCAGCGCGTGGTTCAGCACCTCGTAGTTAGAATCTGTTCGCGCTCATGAAGTCAAGTTGTTGATGGAGGTTCGCTATCAACATTAAGTCTAGTTGTTATGCCGTCCAAGGTAACGCCTAGTGACCGTTGCGCAATATTGATAAAATTCGCCACTCGCCGAGTCTCCGTCAGTTGCAAACATTGGCGGTCCTCCCTAAACGTTTCGTTTCTACGACAGTTTGTGTATGCGGTTGTGATAATTTTCCTGAGAACTGGATAGTACACTTTTTAGATATTATACAAACTTAGATACTGTTTACTTCAATTGACGAAACTTTTGATATAACGAGCTATTTTTTGTGTAGTCAATTATAGTGTTTATGTAATAAGTTAGTGTTTGGATGACGTATACGTAAAAACGGACGACATGACTCAAGCGAACCAACAAAATTTCACGATGGAGTTAAGTCGGCGAACGTCACAAGACATGTCGGAGCCGGCGCCCACACTCGCGAAGGGTCGCAGTGACGCCGGTCTGAGCAAGAGTTGTGCCGAGCGTCCGCCTGCTGTCGGTGAGAGCGCCAATGCCGAGGACAAGACAGAGTTTGACTACGGCGCTGTGGCAGCAGCCGCGGCTGCGGTGGCGCGCGAAAGCAAGAACCCGTTCCTGCCCCAGGTGTATCGCGCGAGTCGCCCGCACGGGCACTTTGAGATGGGCCCGCGTGGTGTGGACTACTCGCCGCACCGCATGGGCTTCGAGACGAGCGGCCGCGCGCGAGACTTGGGCCCACAGCGCTCCAGCTCGGTACAGGGCCACGAGCTGACGGAGCCGCCGCCGGGCGTGGCGCACCGGGCTTATTTCGGCAACCAGTTGGCGCACCCGGACCTCTTCCGGCACGAATACTACGCGCAGATGGGATTTTCACCGCCGCGCGCATCGCGCTTTTCCTCACAGGAGTATCTCAACGCGCCGGCGCAGTTCGGCCGCTGGCCCGACTATCGCGCCGAGTACCGCCATCGGCGCCGCTCCCAGCAGGACCTGCTCGCGATCGAGCGCAACGCTGGCGCCGAGACAGGTACATCTGTCCCCTAATTAATGCGATACCGAATGAAGGGACTGTTTACGCGTAGTTACGATGTGGGAATGGCAACACCGATTATGTAGACTGAATATGTCGATAAAACGAGCTCTTAGGTTTTTACTATCGCAACATTAAAATAGAAATGAAACTTTTGTCGGACCCAATGCAACAAACCAACCTTTCGAGCACTTTACAGGTCCCATGGTCATGTCTGATTGAAATGGTGTTAGTAATCAAATTTTAATAATTACGTATATACAAGAGTATTAATGCCAAACACCCTGTTCTGAACTATAGGTATAGAAATGATCAGTTCTATTATAACTACTTTATTTTGAATTATGAACGATTTTTTAAATATTTTCAAACTCTGCGCTCGAGTGTTGGCTTCACATGACGCCTGTTACATTGACGTCTGTTACCTTCAACATGTTTTCACTTAGGTCCTAAGTTGAAGTGTCACGTTCACCTCTGAGATGAATTTAATGCACCTGTTTTTGGCAGTGTGTAGTGTACTGCACAAGCAACTTGGCATCTTTCTTGCTAGTAGACGATTGGCAGGCGAGGCAGAGGCGAGCCGCGCCCACGGAACTCCGTTGTCTAGTGTGTAATTAATGGAGCGAACGCTTTTAGCGTACAAACCGCTGGAGAAATTAATTTGCACACTATCGCATTACTTTGTGTGACGTAATTGCCTTATGCAGAGGACTAATCATATCAAAGGATGATCATGTAATGAGGAGAGACGAAGCTTTTACTGCTGGGTGTCTCTTTAGCAAACATGATTTGCCGTCATCTTAAGGAAATGTAGCTGATGGGTTCGATTTCTGTGCACCGGACCATCCTAAGTTTAATTTAACTCTTATGTCGACTTTGCCGTAGGCGGCTAAATTATTTTTACCTATTTTAAATGGTACTTCCTAAAGTAGGCTGCATTATTTCATGCACTTGCTTATTTGCCTTGCCCTCAGTTTACTTGCACTGGGCAACAATGCATTGGCATAGCAGCGTGGTGACTTCTGGCCTAAACTCCCATCTTCAGAAGATATCATTACGCTTTCGTTTTGTTGTTACCGAATAAAAAATTGGAATTTGTATTTTCGGAAGTCACAGACGAATCCAGAATTATTTCTTGAAGAGAAAGGAATGTCACAGTGTTCACATTTGATGCGAGGAAAATATGATAATCGCCGTACCTCGTGCGTTGTCTTAATATGATTTGCTGCAATTTATCATTTATCCAGGGCAAAATATAGTTTTATTACATTGAAAAAGTGTAATAACGAAATGCAACAGCTTATTATGAACAAGTACCTTGTGAGAGCTGGAATTTCCGCATAAGTTCCGCACATCTGTGACTGTCAAATTGCCGTATATATAACCTTTTCTTGAAAGAGTAGAATCGATGTGTATACTTTGAAGAAGTTCAATTTTGCGGAGCTTTACCTGTGCGCGACATGACGCGTGCGCAGCGCAGGTGACGACCGCGTAAACCTTGAACCCTGCGTGGGAAACGACATACTCACGGCGAACCTCGTACAAGCTGCAACAGCTGTAAGGAAGACGGCGGCACAGGGCGGCTGGCGGGCGGTGAAGCGGGCGGGTCGTTGACCGTGGCGGGGGCGGCTGCCCCGCTATCGATCCCATTCATGCGTGAGGAGATAGTCGTTGCTTGCAGAAGGTTTTAGGGTGTCTCACGCGCTTCAGGTCCTTGCCGCTGTGACTACGCGCCAATGTGTGTGTTTGTGCGATGCACCCAAACTTGTCGTCTACGTCTCTCCTTTGTATAGGGTACAAAGTAGCTAAGGTTCATTAAAAAGTAAAAGGTCTCGCCCCTGGAAAGGGTGAATGTGTATTCGTGGCCTTCCACTGACTTGTGGCACTTGTCTTCCATACGACGACGCAATTGTGTACAAAAGCACAAGGCTTATCAACATGTTAACCGTGTGTCTGTACTTGGACTTGAAAAGTGTGTCAGACGGGAGCGCCGACGCTTCCCCTGGCAAATAGTTTGTTTATTGTTAGATGAACCCGAGCGATTGACTCGCCGCCACCATTGCCTTTAATGATCGCCGAATAATAATAGCCCGCTTGGAGTAAACACCAGCAACAACACTTTGCGTTTTTACTTTATCATAAAACGTAGCCTATGATGTAATTTAGGACCGTAAATTCGTACTGGATAAAAATTTACTACGTCGTTAATTGAGTGAGGCTTTTTCTCGTATTATTTAATAAGTATACATTAGTATCTATTACTTGGCAAGCTTCGTACTAATTAATATAAAGAAATCGCTATGATACCGCCATAGAAATCCATGTAGTTCTGCATCTCCAGGGGAATCGTAGAGAGGGCGAAGCTCTGACGCCCTTGTGACAAAATGACTTAATTGCTGATGTAAATAAGTACATACGCGTACCGCTACGGCAGATTTCTTTGTTGGCGATTACCCGTCGCCAACGCCGCGTGTTTGTTTATGCAGAATGAGCACCCGCCAAATTATGTTGCACGTACACTGCTAAAATTACCATAGCAAGCGCTCTCCGCAGTCTGTAAAACAGGCCTCTCATCCGCTCGGCCAGGCACAATTAACCTAAATGATCAAATCGATGAAAGTTATTTGCTGCTCGTAATGTGTACGCGAAAGATTAGCGGAAGGCGCAGACGTCGAACAAGAGGACGGACAGCTCGGCAGTTATTGGTAACAGCTGTACGAGCCCATAAACCATTAGAATAACGCTTTTACTACATTTCTCGTTTTACTACGTCCGAATTAGATTTATGGGTTTGTGATTGAAGCAGTGCTACCTCGTTGTGAGCTCAGTCGCGTCTCTGCCGCCCACGCAAATAAATTCTTATTTTGTGTTCGTTGCAACACAGTTACGCTCGACACAAGTCAGCCGTAACCATTGGTGTCCTACTGTCAGCATGAGTAAATAATAAAGTCGAGGATAATATCGCGTTCTTGTTGGTCTTGCTGAGAGAAGCAAAACAATTGTTACAAACTCAGGATTAGGGACAAAGGAAAGACGGCCCGGCGGGGAGCGGGAGAGCACAAATAGAGCGGCGGCGCGGCCGGAGGCAAGACTCCAATGTGACTGCAGCATTTACTTTCGTCACAATGAAGGCGAGATGAGGCCTATTCTAATATAGTCGCGAAGCACTATTGTGGAATGCATTTATTGCGGTCCGTAGGTTCAAACAGAATGCTAATATTTGAACGGGAACGCAATAAGATTCAGTGTAGAAATAAAAACTTAAAAATTATTCGGTTTGGTCTAACTGAAAAATATATTACAAGTTTTTAAGAGTTAAAAATAATGAGGAAATGTATTTCCTCTTCTTAATTCCTCTTTTTCTTTCTTATCGAGACCGCCGCCGCTGCCGTCACCTCGAGGACGAGGCTATCCAATAGTGGAGTGCCGTGGGGGAGGTGTACGTTTTAAAATAGGAGTTCCAGAGGTAGGGGGCAGGTTTAAGCATTCACTACATCCGCGTCTGCGCCCAGCACCGGCGTCGTGTGAATCTAATTCAAAGACGAGCAGACGAGCTGCAACTTACGTGACGTACGATAGCGTAATGTGTCAGTTCGCTTATCGATTAAAGGAAACTTTGTAATCGGCGTTGTTCTTATGAATGCAAATTATTACCCGCTACTTTAAACATAATTGTTATATCTGTGCTGTGTCGATTGTGCACAGAGCCTCTTCCGAAAGATCCGAAACGCCATCTAATATTGCTTCACAGAGACTTCAAAACATTTAGAAAATAATTATGTGGGGCGCACTATAACTTTCCAGAATGAATAAGAAAAATAATATAAATGGTCAGAAATGAATTTATTGTTTCTAATATATTCTTAGCGTTAGCGTTCGTGCACTTTTTCATACGAATGAACCAATTTTGAAAATATTTATGCCACTCCTATGTGACATATTTTTCATACTCTTCGACATCCTCTTCAGGTGATGAAAATCTTTGACCGTGTAACTGGTTCTTAATTTTTGGAAATAAATAAAAGTTCCAAGGTGCCAGGTCGGGACTGTACGCGGGATGGCTCATAAGGTCAACATTGTTCACCTTCAAAAATTCATTTGTCTGTCTGGCCGCGTGAGAACTGGCATTATCGTGGTGCTAGATGATACGGCGTTTACGGTTATTTTTACGGAGTTTGTCAATAACTTCCGGCAAACAAATGGTCGTGTACCAATCACTATTCACGGTACATTGATCGTGTACAGTTTTATTAAAAAAAAAGAAGCAATTTAGAAGCACTTTGCACGCGCGCCACTTTGGTTGGTTTCGAGTTTTGGCTCATCTCGAAGACCCATACGCTCGATTGCTGCTTTGTTTTGCGATCGTAACTATAATTCCATGTTTCGTCACTTGTTACTATGTCCCACACCAAATTTGACGCCCCTTCGTTAAATCTGGTAAGCATGGCATTGCACCAAGTGACGCGATCCGTTTTTTGAGCCTCAGTCAAATTGTGTGGGATCCACCGAGAGCACAGCTTTTTCACACTCAAATATTTCTGTAGTATTGATTGTATTTGACTCATGCCTATGCCTAAAGATGACCGAATCTAATGGTATGTTACATGCCTGTCTGTATCATACGGCGCACAGCATCGATGCTTTTGTTGTTCACAGCAGTGGTCGGGTGACCATCACCAAATTCGTCACTGAGATTCACACGACCGCGTTTGAATTCTGCAAACCAGCTATAAATAGTCGTCTTGCATGGTGCTTCATCGTCAAAAGTAGTTTGAAACCGAGCGAAGCTCAGCTGAGTTGTTAATATAATAAGATAACACTTAGAAAATCATACTGCGAAAATTTTCAGTTAAATCCATGGTGATGTAAACAACCAATTTCTAAAATGATACCACAATGTAAAAACAAGTGACAGTCAGATGAAACAAACGATATTGTACAGCCCAAGAGTTCCATTTTCAAATGTATAATTACTTTTTAAATATTGTTTAAGTAAGTAGCCAGTCCGGAAACTTATACTGCGCCCTATGTAGTATAGGACATAAATTTTTCAAGTATCTTTAATTTCGTTTGTAAAAAAATAAATTCTGAAATAAAGCCAGTATCTCATGCCGCTTGACCTAAGCAAAATGGACCGAATTAGTACGAGAAAAATTTGAACTCGAGCTGAGGTGTCGGTTCTTAAGTTTATTGGCCTGTTCCAGAAACTTATAGTGCGCCCTATGTAGAGATGTTTGAATGCTGCATCGGCACAAGGCTTGATTTTCTAAGAACAAGTTACCGGCGAGATGGTACTAACAAAACGCTATAATAAAAACTGTGTTCATCG